ATGCTCAGATGCCCCTGGCCAACTAAGGAGGTACAAGAGGACTCCAAATAGCAGGCCTGAGTTCTAACCCAGATGTACCCCAAAACTGCCTGATTAGCTCAGATAGGGTGAGAGAAGCCATCTTGGGACAGGAAGGAAGGCCTGCTCATCCTAACCTACCAAGTTTGGCTACCCAATGCTAGATGTACTCCCAGTGGAAGATCCCTCCATTAGCCTTCTCCCCAACCCAGCACAGCTCTGGGGCTGCTTAAGACTCGCTAAATGGCCAGAGTGGAGGAAGGCAGCTGAATCCTCTCCCCAGGGCACATGCTTCTCTCTGAGCTCTGAACCAGGATTGCATTCTTGGGTTGAGGTTTCCAAAACTCTCGATTACCATCTCATTAGTAGGTGATAAGCATGGCCATCACCCAGCAGAGACCACTTCATCTCTGAGAATGGCTGGTCCATGATAAAGAAGCATTTTATTCAAGTTACCACTTGAAAAGAAAAAAGGAAAGAAGGAAGGAAAGAGAAAGAGAAAGAGGAGGGAGGGAGGAAGGAAGGAAGCAATTTGTTCAGAATAACAGCTGTGGGGAATGGAGATGTGGCTCAAGAGGTAGAGTTTCTGCTTTGCAAGGGCAAAGTCCTCAGTTCAAAACTCCATGCCACCAAAAAATAAAAATAACAGTCGTCATTGAATAAGTGCCTACTATGTGTCAGGCATCATATTGTACTTTACATCCATGATTGACTTAATCATCACAAGAGCTCTAAAATAATAACTACTATCATTATCCTCATTTTTCAAATGAGTAAACAGTAGATAAGAGAAACTAAATAACACGTTCAAAGTTAGAAAGCTAAAAAAAGAAAGAAAGAAAGAGAAAAGAAGTCTGGGCATGGTGGTGCACACTTGGGAGGCTGAGGTGGGAGGATCTCAAGTTTGAGGCCAAACTGGGCTACCTAGTAAAAATTCAGTGTAAAAAAAAATTGAACCCAAAAGTACCCATTTTACTAGCTGCCCTGCAGCCCTTACCCAATCTTTCCTCCAGTGTGTGGCAAAGATTCTTATCATCATGCCCCAGGACAGATGAAGGGCGGCACCTCAGTAAAGTTGATGATGTTACTGTCTGCTGAGGCAGAGAGGAGGCTGCCATCTATTCATCTTGCTCAGATAGTGTTGAACTGAAAAACAGAAGCCCAGGTAAAAAGAGAGATGCAAATGGAGGCTGAGATACTCACTAGCTGAGTGACCCCAGGCTGTTACATAACTCTTCTAGCTTGAATCCTTTAAAATAGGGGTGATAATAATAATCTTGTCTAGTCTTAGGTTGTTGTGCGGATCAAGCAAGGTGATGCATGTGAAGTAGTAAGCATATGGAAGCTGTCATTACTCAGAGCTCCCTCTGCCTCTACCTCAGAAGTTCAGATTTCATCCAGACGTTTGACATGTTATCCTGATTAATGATGTAGATCAGTGCTTCTGAACATGGCTGGCACCAGAATTAGCTGGGCACCCACACCTATAATCCTTGCTACTCAGAAGGCAGAGATCAGGAGGATTGAGGTTCGAAGCCAGTTCAGGCAAATAGTTTTCGAGACCCTATCTCAAAAAAGCCCAAAACAATAAACGGCTGGTGGAATGACTCAAAGTGTAGGCACTGAGTTCAAGCCCTAGTACTGAAAAAAAAAAAAAAAAAAAGAATTACCTGCCTAAACATGTAAGTGCTCTGACCCCACCTAAGAGATTTTGATTTAGGAGGACTGGGGTAGAACCTAGCCTTTTTCATCTTTATTCTATTCCCAGGTAATTGTGATTCACAGCCAGATTTAGGGAAAGCAATCTACCAGGTTAGAAGTCTCAACCACAGTAGGAAAGGAACTATGGCTGGTTTCTTATCACCACCAGCAGCACCCTTTTCTCCCAGGTCCTGTGCACTGTCTTGCAAGAGCTCTCCCCAAATCAAGGGCCCTGTGGCCCAGCAGTGAGTCAACAGCATGCCCAGTCCTACGAAACCTGCTTTCTACAGCCTGGGAACCCAACATGAGTTGGAAACTGGATTCAGGGCTCTGCTATGGATTCTCCCCCTTTTGAATCACTGGTGGCCAAAGGCCAGTCAATCTCCAAGCCTCAGCTTGTTCTTGGTCAATAGGTAGTCAAGGAAAGCAGAGTTGCCCATTCGAACTCTGCTTTCTTAGGATTATGTCCCTGTGACAGCTACAGTGGGTGGGGAGACCTGGGAGAGGGGAAGATCTTGCATAACTCTGCTTTCCCATTGACATCTTATTTGATTCTCCTGATGGGGAATAAAATCCAGTGTCACCCTGGCATATAAGGTCTTCTATTCTCTGTCCTAGTCTTTGTTGCAATGTTATCTCATATCCCTCTCTTTCTGACCCTACTTTTCCTTGAATGCTCTAAGCTTGTGTCTGCCTCAGAGTCTTTGCACAACTTGGAATGCTTTTGCCAACGATGATCACAAGTCTGGTCCTTTTCACTTAGGTGTTAGCTTCTCTGTCACCTGCTCAGAGAAGGCTTTACTAATCCACTGTCATATCTAAAGTGTCATTCTGGGCACTGGGACACCTTACCATCTAGCACATCATTTTAACTTTCATCTTAGCACTTATCACTATAGGACTTATTTTTTTCTTTCTTTCTTTCTTTTTTTTTTTTTTTGTGGTACTGGGCTTGAACTTTGGGCCTACATCTTGTGCCACTTCACTAGTCCTTTTTTTGTGTGGGATGGTTTTTTTTTGAGATAGGGACTCACGAACTATTTGCCCAGGATGGTTTCAAACCACAATCCTCCTGATCTCTGCCTCCTGAGCAGCTAGGATTACAGGTGTGAGCCACCAGTGCCCAGCCTAGGATGTTTTTTCTTTCTTAATGTGCCTGTCACCCCCTAGCATAGACTGTGAGTTCAGTGAAACAGGTTCTTGGCTCCTTTTTTTTTTTGTAGCTGTGTTATCCCTAGCACCTTTACCGTGTTCAGAGAATGTTTGTGGAATAAATGAGTTATGATTTCATTTTTTTCTTGTTTATTTTGTTTGGCCTTTTGGTCAGAGGACATTTAAGGCTCTGAGAAGGAAAATGATTATTCCAAATCGATTCAGGTCTTTTCATCTTCTTTTTTCCAGGCCCTTCCTGTAAAACCTTGGTGACACACAGACCTAGCTGGGGTGAGGCTCCCAGGTGTGATGAAAGTTTGGAATTGCCCCATGAATGGGGGCTGAGGCTGATGTGAAGTGAGAAGGCAGAGGAAGAGCATGGGAAGCAAGAGGCAGGCTGGAACAGGAGCACAGGGTGTGAACAGAGGGTGGGGGAAAGTGGGGGTGATTTGGCCATGTGTCAGGATCTCCACCTTCCCCTGGGGAGAACCCTGACCCCTCTGTGGCTTTGGTTTTGGGTAGAGAGGAAGAAGGTGTGGTCTGGGTGGTGACCACATTCTGAGGTCCTAGGCTCGATATTGTTCACTGTAGGAGTAATCCCATGGTGGCTCTTGGCCAAATAGGTGACAGGTGAGCTTCCGTCTAAAACCGTCCTGACTGCAACATGGGGACCTTGCCTAGGAGCAGGCAAAGGGTCTGTGAAAGGAAGAGAAAAGGGCTTTCTAAGGAAAAAAGAGCAGTCAAGGTTGAATGCTTAGTGATAACAACAATACATCATATTTACTAAGAGCAATCCTTGAAAAGTTCTCTACAAAGCAGGTATTATTTTTAGCACTGCTGTTATTCCCATTTGAGATGTGGAAATTGAGGCTCATTAAGATTAAGTATTTTTGTCCCAAGTCACATGGTAAATAGTAAAAGGCAAATTCAAACCCAAGTCTGTTAGTGATCTCAGTGCACTATAGAAACATAGGCCTAGGGCAGGCTGCTCCAGCAGGTTGAGAGTGGAGCCAGATCGACCCTGGTAAAGATAGGGTTGAGGGGGAGACAGTGGGATGGACTGTGTATAAATAGCAGGCCTGTTTTTATCCCTACACATGGCTGAATCAGGCAAGTGCTCTATCTAGCACAGTTGAGGGCTCTGAATGCCAACCCAGCCTTAGGTCAAACAACTCCCTCCTTAGCACATCCCTGGGAGCTGAAATACCTACTGAGAGAATCATTTCTTTGGGTCAGGACTTTGACTCCACAAGACCCCTGTAAAAATACAAGAGTTGGAGGAAAAACACATCAATCTCCTGGCACCTGTTGGCCATAGCAGTCTAGGTTAGCCAGCTGGATGTGTCTTTCTTTTTATGTTGAGGAAGAAGATGGTGCTCAAAGGCAAGGAAATGAGCCCCCTTGTGGGGTGGGGGGTGCGAAGGCAAGGAAAAATATAAGGTTTGTTTTGTAATTTGTGCCTCTCTGATCACAGCAGCTTAGGAATTATATCCATAGTTCAAAAATCCTGAAGTAGTCCATGTCCCCTGAGTTAAAGCTGGGGGAATCTATTCCTGCCTTCTTTTGCTGTTGGCACCAGGAGCCTGCAACTCCTATGCTGGTTATCTCCGGCTCATGAGATCTACTGGCATTCACGGGTCTAATATTTAAATGACAAACGAGTTATTATTTACTACTTGCTGCGTTGGCAAGCAAAAAAGTGGGCGTCCGAAACTCAGAGATATGGAGCAGGAACATTCGTAGGAAGTAGGCCCTGAACAGAGCTCTCAGCTTAAGCAGTCTCAAGGCTGGAGCACTCTGGGCGTTTTGGGAAAGGTAGGAACTGGTCCCCGCCACCTGCCGGTCAGCAGCCTTTCCCACAGCCAGGCCTCGGCTGCCCGGGCCAGCTCCCAAAAAATGTGAGCGCCGCTAGGTCCTTCCGCCGCACCCGCGGGGTCCGGGGCTGCGCAGCAGGCGCCGCAAGCCGGGCGCGCTTCCCGGAGCGGGAGGGGGAGGGGGAAGGAGGGGGCGGCGCCGGGCGGGGCGGAGCTCTGGCTCCTCCCGGAGCCTTATTCCCGGCGGCGCGCCGGGAGCGCTCAGTCTGCCAGTGTAGCTGCACGCGGCACGCGGCACGCGGCTAGTCGGCCTGACTGAGGTGCAGGGGCTCGGGCGGACGCGCGGACCGCCAGTGAGCTGACAGACGCACGGTGGCAGCGAGCTGCGCGCAGGTCCCAGCTAGGCTTGCATCCAGGAGCGGGCAGCAACCGTGGCCAGCGGAATCTCCTCCGCTCCACAGCCTGACTCCCGTGCGGGCGCTCAGTGGCCGCCGCCGCCTCCAAAGTGATTGCTGCCTCTCTGTCTCCCCCGGGTCTGGGACCATGAGGCTGCTGCCGTCGGTGGTGCTGAAGCTTTTTCTGGCCGCAGGTAAGAGGGCTGCTAACGCCCCCGAGTCGGGGGGGGATGGGGGCGCCGTGCGTGGGGCACAAGGGAACGTCGCTGCAGCGCCCCCGGCGTGGGCCACTTGGTGGGGCCCGTGCGCACTGGCGGGCAGGCGTTGACATCAGTGCTTCGTGGCGCGGGGTCTAGGCTGGAGGTCTGATGCAGCCTCGCCCCTTGCTTGCAGTGTTCTCCACGCTGGTGACTGGCGAGAGCCTGGAGCGGCTTCGGAGAGGACTGGCGGCTGGAACCAGCAACCCGGACCCTCCCACTGGATCTACGGACCAGTTGCTACCCACGGGGGGTGGCAGAGCCTGGGAAGTCCTGGACCTCAAAGATGCAGACACGGACCTTTTCAGAGGTGGGTGTGGGGGCCGCCCAACCTTGGACTCTGGTGGACAGTTGAAGAATAATCAGATTTAAGATTAATGCTGTTGGTCACTCCTGTGGGCTGGGGGGGTATTCATGGAGGACTTCAAGGAAAAGCTTATGGCCTGATAGGTAGCTGGGGGATCCTGGAATGTAGGTCCCACGGTCTTTCTTGTCTTTGGGTCTCAAGTGGTGGGTGCTGCCTTCTGGGTACTTTGAAGCAAACTGAAACAGGTAAGCTGTCCTCTGAGGTAAGCTGGATGGTAGGACCACTGTTGAGATGCTTTCCGTAGAGTTCTTATGTGAAAATGGGCACAAGTCCTACTTCTACACCAGTGACTATTGTGCGGAAAGATAACAGATGTGGCACATACAAGCACATAGCCAGTGTGCTGTGTTAGTCTCCTCCACTCACCTGTCTCCAGGTTGGGGAAACAGAGGGGAACTCTTGGTCTCCCTAAGTGAGACCAGCACCTTTGGGGGAGGTTACGAATGGTGAACCCACCTAGGGGGCCGTTTTGAAATGCCCGATGTCTATGAGTGTACCTGAAGCTTAGAGACTTCCAGATCACTTGAATCCCCAATGAGACTCCAGGTGGAAAGGGCCATGTGGGTTCCTTCCTTCCAACCTGTGTCTGTGGCTGAGAACAGGCATTGATTGGCAGAGACCAGATACTGCTGGCCTCCCTGCCTCTGGCCACCTGCAGTGATTCTCAGGGGTGGATCAGGGATGGACTAAGCTCTGTGGCCCCAGAAGGACTGTATTTGGATGGAAAGATACTACCTGTTCCACCCCTCCTACTGCTCAGTTGCCCTTCTTCTTCCTCACCCAGAGTTTCTCTTTGGAGCTCTCTCTGCTATACATAAATTAAGACACTGCTCCAAAGCTGAGCCTGTGTTCTCACACTTCATCTTTTCATCCTTTTTCAGTGGCCCTTTGGGGTCACTCATGCCCTGAACAGCCTGGATTCTCCTCACTCCCTCCTTCTAGCCTGGGCAGGGCTGGGCTGGGCTATGACTCACAGCCACCCACATGGCTGCTCCTCATACCTCTGCAGACCTGACTCACTGCTCCCTGTCCTGGGCAGGAGCCTGGCTGTCACTCTGCCATTCTCTCACTCCCCTTTATGATTAGCTTTGCCCTCTTGTCTTGGTCACTGGGTTCCTCTGGCCACCTGCCTTACCTTCTGACCTCTGAAAGGGCCTGGGATTGTCCCTTTCTAATCCCAATCCCGCATGACCTTGGGCAAGTCACTGCCTTTCAAGATGTTAAGGTTTTCATCTTGAAAATGGAAGGCCATGATATTCATTCAAGTCATTTCCAGCTTGAGGATTCTAAGTCTCCAGTCTAATGAATCATGTTCACCCTTCCAGGCACAAGCTGTAGCTATGGACAGGGCCACCCTTTTACTATTGGTGAGGGAGTGGGAAAGAGGCTAGCATCAGACCCTTGGACCAATGGGTGTAGACTATGGTCAGTCCCAGCTGGATATCTGGGTGAGATTGTTTTTCCCCCAGTCTCTGAAGCCTGTAAAGAAGGGGAGGAGTCATCAGTTGTTCCAGTTCCTTCCGGACAGTTCCTTACTTTTCATCCCTCTATCTTTTGTATGCATTGTAACCCCACCAAACCAAAGGGCTATAAACAGGACATGTAGGTATAAATGTAAATGAATCTTTAGGAAAGTGGGAAGCTGAAAAGGACATTGTGCAAGTTAATATCTTGCTAAAGTAGGAAAAACAAGGCCCTTTAAGCAGAGATTGACAACTTGCTGTTTCTAAGCCAGGCTCTGTCCTGAGCTTGTGGTTCCCTGATACGAATGGGAATCCTAGAGGGAGTACCCCGAAGACACAGACACTCTTCTTATTTTAGAAGCCTTCTACCCCAAAACATTCAAGTCCCTTCTTCAAAAGCAATTTTTGTCTGTGACATTATCTTCCTGTAAGTGGGTCAATGAGTTCAGTAACAGGAAATGAGGCTGATTGAAGGCCAAAATAGAATGAAGTAGATGTGGAGGAGTTGGAGATGGGGGTGGAAAGTGGACAGTGGGCTGAGGGTGAGGTTAGTAGCATGCCCAGTGAGTTGCAGTTACTCAGGAATTAGCTAACATTCTCAGAATGGGAGTCTTAAACTGTGAAGTACCTTTCTTGGGACACATCCTAGCCTCTACTTCCTCCTGAGGTTTCCGCTTTCTAGTTGTTCTGCCTAGTCTTCCTTTAACCCTTGGGTGGCACTGAACCAAGAGCCCTTCCCAGGCCTCTGACTTCAGATTGGATTGGATCAAAGAGTATATACTTGCCAGGTGTGGTGGTATACGCCTGTATTCCAGCACTCAGGAGGCTGAGGTGGGAGGAGCAAAAGTTTGTGGCCAGCCTGGGCTACATCGAGAGACACTCACGATAAAAGGGTGGATGTGTGTGCAAACTTTCAAAACAGCCATGCTTTTCTGATCTCCCCAAAGGGTCAAAAGCTTAACAGGCTTCCCTTTTTCTACAGTTGGTTTCTCCTCCAAGCCACAAGCTCTAGCCACACCAGGCAAAGAGGAGACTGGGAAAAGAAAGAAGAAAGGAAAGGGTTAGGGAAGAAGAGAGACCCATGTCTTCGTAGATACAAGGATTTCTGTATCCATGGAGAATGCAAATATCTGAAGGAGTTGCGGGCTCCATCATGCAAGTAAGTGCCTCTTCCTCATGTGGAATCTTATCAGCACACTCTGTCAACCACATGTCTGTTCCTCGTTGTCACTGTTCCTTGAATTCTTAATTTTACCCAGTTTCTTTTCAACTTCTGGGCGGAAGTTCAGAAGAAGGGAAATATTTTTAGTCAACGGAAACCCTCTCCCTCCCCCCCAAAAAAGGATGCAATTTCCTGTGGCGTGGGTTTGTGATGCTCTTTAATCCTTGGGGACATTTCCTGCTTGCCCAAAATTGAGCATGTGGCTAGGAGAGCCGGCACCTAGTGGCAGGCTCTTCATTCCTACTTCATGCCCTTCTCTGGAAGAGAGAAACTAGTAGGAGACATGGCAGAGCAGGTTCCTGGGTGGAGTGGAGTTTCCACAGGCAGGTATGTAGCACATTTGGTCACATGTTGTGCAGGTATGTGTGTACTCAGGTATATATGCATGTGAGTAAGCAAATGTGGGATGATTCGGAGGCATGGCAGGGCTGAATGGTGAAGATCATCATGGGAGCAAGTTGAAGGCCCTCCTTCCAGTAGGCCCCTGCAGGGCCAGAGTTAGGGGACATGGAGGATGGAGAGCATTGGCCTTTGGCTGGGGGTGGGGGTTAGAGGAGATGAGAGAAACTTCCTTTGTGTAGGATTAACAGAAAATGGAACCCAACCCTGAAAGCAGCATCATTCCTTCCCTGGCAGGAGTGTAGGCGGAGGGGCATGGGTTCCTTAGCCTCTCCTAAGCCAAGTCCAGCAAACGGCTGCCTTGGCAACCCCTCAGGGATGACTGAACTGCCATGCTCTCTGGCAAGCATAATGTCGCCACTGTGCCTGAAGCCAACCCCCACGTCAGGCTACAAACATCCACTCTCTTTCCTGTGGATGGAGGCAGACTCTGGGGGCCTTGTGACCTGAAGACTCTGGACAAGCCAAAACACTATTGTGTGCATGCCACTTCCCATCCTGTCAAGAAGGCTGGCTGCATGATATCTCTTCTACTCTGATTGGTGCAGATTCCTTGCCTTTTAAAAGCTTCCTTGTCCTGTTTGATCACATGTATCAGAGCTGCCCCATATTTGTCAGTTGGCAGACAGTCCCATCACTCCCCACCATCTCCACAGTCACTGTGTCCTTTCCTGTAACGTCCTGTCAGGAGCTTGGTGTTGGAGGGGTTGTTTTAAGAATAGGGTGGTCTCTTTTCCAACGTCTTGGTCTTGGGACAGGCAGGAAATGTTTGTCTTAAATTTGTAAATTGGCATCATTAGCACAGGGTGGAGAAAGTGACTCTGAGGGTAGTCAGGGTGGACTGAGGCCAGAAATCTGCCTGGGCCATACTGTCCCAGGGCATTTTGGTGGTGGATATGGGCCTCCACCACTCTGTTGAGAAGCCTTATAAGGCCATTGTCCTGAAGAGCAGGGTTCAACGGACCACCTAAGCTCGGAGAACCTGATTAAGTATGCCCAGGGTCACTTTCCCAGTGGCCCTAGGGAAAGTGATGGTAATCATAACCATAACATCTCTCCTTTATCCCAGAGCTTAGTGTCTATGCTTAATGTGAATTCAGCCCAATAGGCATGTTGAGCATCTACTTGGTGTTAGACAATATTCTGGGGGATGGGGAGAGATAGTCTCCTGGGATTTCCAAAAGTCCTCTGCTGGGTAGGCAGAACTTGCTCTGGCTACTTAAAAAATGAGGAAACTATAGCTAGCAAGTAAGAAATCATTTGTATTAGATCAACAGCTAAATAAGTGGATGGAACAGGATAGGTCTCAGGTGCCTCATTCCCAGTCCAGCATGCTTTTCATGCCCCCAGGCCAGCATGCTTTTCATGCCCCCAGGCCAGCATGCTTTTCATGCCCCCAGGCCATACTGGGTGTTGGCTTTCAGCCTTCTTCTCTATCCCTGTCCTTACAGAGTTTGAGGAAGATTTTATAGAGGGCAGCTGTTGTCTTAGAGCACTCTTAGACTTTAACTAGCCTAAGAGCATAGCAATCTGACTTTAAGATTCATGCCAGATTCCTAGGAAGATTTTTTATGGGGTGAATTCTGTGTCTGTTCTGGCTGCCTCCTGTCTCCATCCCTTGGTACTCAGGGCAGAAAGCGGCAAAAAGACACAAAGCTTCTAGTTGGGGCAGTGTGACATCTGTGCACCTACATCCTTTGTGGTTCCTCCTTGCTTCCAGACTGAGAAACCAACAGCCAGGGTGTGTCCAGGCTGCCGTGGTAAACTTGAGGCTAGTTGGCTTCCTAAACCAGCCCAATGTAGCCACCATGAACAGGAAAACCCTCTGTCTCACCAGCCAAAATTTGCCCTCAAAGAGTAGTTTTCTAGGGCTTCTGCCTTGCTGCTGACCCAGAAATTTGCTGCAAAGTTTTCTGTGGCTAGAGGAAAGCTGGGAACAGTTGGTCTGGGGAAGACTCAGTATTAGAAGAAAAACAGACCTGGGGACTGAACTTGACCACACTACCCAGATGCCCAGAAGCATTGGTGAGCCTCCTTCTCTTGGATCCAGCTGACTTGGGTGCCCCATTGAAGATAGCAGCAGTACCCTCTGCAGGATCTGGCCTTTTATTAAGTGCTTTCATCCATATTATCTCCTTTGATTTTTTTCATGGTGCTCCAGTGAGGTAGGCATTTATTATCTCTGTGTTTTACACAAGGAAACCAAAGCCTGGAAAGGTAATTGACTTGCACAAGATCACCTGGCTAGAAATAGCAGTAGAAACAGTCTGGAACTCATGTATTCTGGGTATCCTCCATCATATGGTGCCCCTCCCCTCCCGGGATAGAGGTGAAGAAATCCAGTGTGGAAGATGTCTCTGCACCCTAGAGAGTTCTTGCTTCTGTTGTAATCCATGTTCTGAAATGGGTCACAGACATGTGGAAGAGGAACATGTCCTAGTTTGATGGACATGGGTGCTGGCTCTGGGCAAGACACATGATCTTGCTCCCCCCCACCCCTCCACTCCCCCCTTGCCCCAGGATGCTCAGAATGTACTCAACCCTCCTCCTTCCCTGGGGAGGCCAGGAGTCGGCTGCAAAGGGAGGGAGAGGTGGGTAATATTAGGATGTTTACATTATTATCCTTTTGACTCAGGCTGGATGTGGAGGCGTTATGTAACTGAATTGCGGGACTCTGAGGGCAAGCTTTATTTCTATCATCTGAGTAACTACCTGTGGGGTTTGAATGATGGGCTAGAAGTACTAAACAGATCCAACTTCAACTCCTGTCCCCTAGGACAGCATAGTCTCTGAAGTCATTCAGACTGCTGGATTGATTCCTGGCTCTACCACTTACTAGCTTTGTAACCTGGGCAAGTTATTTCGTGGAAGTGAAGCCTCAGTTTCTTCATCTTCAAAATGGGGATAGTAACTTGTCCTTCACAGATATTGTTTAACCTTAAAGGTTAAATGAAATCAAAAGGCGCCCAGGTTCAATCCCTAGCACTAAACAAGATTAAATGAAATAGTCTTTGTAAAGTAGCTAACACTGAGTGTTAGGCTCATGATAAGCCTTTAATGTTTGTTATTTATTATTACTTATTATTAAGGTTATGAATAATAAATAATACTAATAACAATACAGTCAGAGAGCAAGGTCAGACAGCCCCAGGTACCCACCAGATATATTTCCTTAGGGTTACCTATACAGAGCAGAGTGGACAGAATTGAAAATTTAGAATCTGCTAAGAGTGGTTTCTGGTCTCAGTCCTTCTGCTTCCTAGTTATAAAACTTGGCAAGTTACTGAACCTCTCTGACCCCTAATCTGTGTGCACAGGTGATTTTTCCAGAGACACTTCTGGGAGCTTCCACCATGTCCTTACAAGTTGGGAGTCTTTTTTTTTTTTTTTTGTCCACTTGGGCTGATGAGCCAGATGCATGAAAGGGGCTGGGGAAAGAACTATATACCATGTGTCAGTGGGCCTACCTACAATTATCCTGAAGTGACATGGGTCCTCAGAGCACCCAGAAGAAGCTGGGGCAGGGAGAGGTGCAGGGTAGTGCTAGGTGGGGGCAGTGCCATCCAGCCTGACCCCTCTGCCACTGCGGAGTCTGGACAGGTTTGCTCCTTAGAGTGTCCCTGGTACACCGTCAGCAAGAAGAAGGGATTCCTTGCTCTGAGGCACAAGGTGCACAACTTCCTTTCCAGAGAAGGCACAACTCAGAATAGAAGGCCACCAGGCTCTCAGGGCTTCCTTGAGCAGCTTAGTGGTCTAGCGTCCTCGACTGACAGACTGACCACCCTGGTGAGTGAGTGAGCAGTTGTGGAGGGCAGGCAGCATGCTGAGGGTTGGACAATCCACGCCCATATTTCTGCCCTGTTGTTTGGTTTTTTTTTTAAGCTCCATCATAATTTATTAGATACTATGTTTTATGTACTTTTTTTTTCCTTTTTCTTTTATTATTCATATGTGCATACAAGGCTTGGTTGCCCTGTTGTGTGACCTTGGGAAGCCACTCTACCTTTCTGTAGAATGGGGCTCCCACCTACATCAAAGGTTCTCTGGGGTCCTCAGATAAAGGAAGGGATGTGAATGTGTTTCTTTAGCAGTTTTCCAAAGAACTTTAAGGAAATGCTTTGTATTAGAAGAGGCAGTTGCCACATGATTTATTTCTTGAGTGAGAAGAGCCAAGGGATTGTTTCTGACATTCTTTTATGCTCTGACAGGGCAGCTGGGCAGGAAGATGTTATCTTGTTGCTTTGTCCTGTGATGAAGGAGGTGTTCAGAGGCCAAAGGCTGTAGTGAATCTCCCAGGTTAGGCCCTGCACTCAGGGGGAACTCGGAGTTAAATAAAGGAAACTTGAGAAAAAGGACTCCTGGCAAAGGAACAGGGCCTATTAATAGGCTGAGCAGCGGTGGGGAGGGGCTGGATGCTGGAAGCATTGACAGGCAAGGCTGGGTTTATTTCTGGGTCAGAATGTTGAGGGGCCTCTCTGAGGGAGTGATACTGAATCCCCTCAACTCAACCCACTAGCCCTGTGCCCAAGTCCTCTTAAGTGGCTTAAACAGAACGTCTTAACACACATGTAATAAGTCAACCACACGTGGAATAGATCTAAACCGATTTTCAAGTCCTCCCTCGCTTTTTCCCTGCCTGGAGCAGTACTCAGGCCAGAGGACCAGAGGGAATGGTGAAGGGATGGGTACCGAGAGAGAGGAGTGCTACAGAGCATCCAGAGGGCTTTTCCACAGTCTCCTGCTAAAGGAGGAGGATAGAGGAAGGGTAAAAATTATGGGCAGGGATCCACAGACTGAGGGTGTGAGAAGTAGGGTTTTGCTCATGTACATAGGCCATCGCAGAATTTAAGAGAGAGAGAGAGAGACCAAGGTGCCAAACCACTCACCCTGTCTCCTCCTTGTTCACTCTTAAACTAGCTGCCATCCAGGTTACCACGGAGAGAGGTGCCATGGGCTGAGCCTCCCAGTGGAGAATCGCTTGTATACATATGACCATACTACTATCCTGGCTGTGGTGGCTGTGGTGCTGTCATCTGTCTGTTTGCTCGTCATTGTGGGGCTTCTCATGTTTAGGTGAGTATTGGGGGCCCCAACAGGCTGGTCACCCTCCTTCTTCCTCCTCCTGGGACTTAACACCTGATGATCACATGAATCCATTCTAGTGCCCCTAACTTCTGGGCAAGTTCCTGGGTACAGATTCTCCAAAAACCTAGTTTGTCTGGCATGGCATGAAGCCAGTGTCTAGAGCCCAGACCACAGCAGGTTCTATTTCTCACAAGAGTTTGTTTTCTACCTCTCTGGCCAGTAACTCACCCATGGAGCCACCTCTTCACATATTTCTTTCTCTTGGGTCTGTTCTTCAATGGCATTAGTGTGTGATTTGGTAGTGAAGGCCTGAGTGGTGCTATTGACATATCCTTCCAATTCTGAGACATCAGAATCGGGCTAATCCTCCAGCACAGGTATATTGTAGGATGGGGAAGACCTTAAATACTGTATGCATTTTTAAGCAAGGCAACTCATCCATTGTGAGAACTGGAACAAGTTACCTGTCTTTCTGAGAACTGTAATCTTTCAGTGATCTGTCCACCTTCCTATAAGGATATTATGAGGATCAAATTGATGAGGTGAAAGCTCTTGATAGAATATAGCCTTCTTGTAGAGCTGACATCCCTTAGGGCAGCTCGTCTTAATGGGGCTGCTATACCTTCTGGACTTTTCTAAGTAACAGAGAAAGCCATTATGGTGGAATTCTTTGGAAGGACCATCTCTGGAACCTGACTTTGTCATAGCAGGTGGCACTTGCTAACAAACCTTATCTTCCTCAGGTACCATAGGAGAGGAGGTTATGATGTGGAAAATGAAGAGAAAATGAAGTTGGGCATGACGAATTCCCACTGAGAGAGACCTGTGCTCAAGGTAATGGTCAATCCTTTGTCCGCTGGCAGCATCAAGGGGCCAAGACACGGTGGGTCGTGGGTATATTTCAATGAGTGCTGAATTTTTCTCTTGACCAGTGGTTGGAGGGTGAGGAGAGAAGGGAGGCTACTGTGGAGTCAGGATCCCTTTGCAGGATTGTTTTTAAAAAGACTGTTAATGAGTCATCCCCAGTTAGGGTGGAAGTTATGAGAGATACCCAAAAGAGAGGTTAGCTTCTCCCCTACTTGGTCCCTTAGCCCTTCTGTCTGTCTCTCCCTAACTGTCCTAGATGCTCTTGCCTTTTTTTTTTTCTTTTAGGGGAGGTGCAGTCCTGTGGTTTGAACTCAGGGCCTCACACTTGTGAGGTAGGCATCCTACCCACTTGAGCCACATCCCCAGCCACTTTTTACTTTAGTTACTTTTCAGATAGGTTCTCCAGCTTTTGCCCAGGGCTGCCTCAGGTCTCAGTCCTCCTGTTTACACCTCCATGTACTTGAGATTACAAGAATGGGCCACTGTGCCTGGCTGCTTCTTTCCATTTCTTGAGATTGGACCCAGCTGTCTTTTTTTTTTTTTTTTTTCCTCCCAGTACTGGGAATTGAACCCAGGGCCTCACACTTGCTAGGCTAGGGCTCTACCACTTGAACTACAACTCCAGCCCTGAATCCAGCTTTAAATGCCCTCCTCTTGTGCTTTAGGAATCTGCGGGGATGGCTACCTCTGAGAAAACCCCAGCTGATTGCAAGCTCTGCAGAGGGAAAGGACTTCACAACTCACCACAAAGACTTCGTTCCCAGTTGCTGTCTTCATTGGACCTCTCATAATTGCGCTGCCAAAATACCAGAGCCTTCAAGTGCCAAACAGAATCTGTCCAATGGACCTGGATCAGAAGAAAGCAAAAACAAGGGACCTTCAGTCCCTTCTGCTTCCCCTCCACCAAACCCAGTTCTCCCATCAGTTTTTTTAAGTACTCAATCTTCTGGATTAAAATGCTATCCAGATTCCATGTGCTCCAGCATTTTTGACTGAGAAGAAGGAGAGGTAGAAGAAAGATTTGTGGACTGGAAGAGAGCAACAAAGTTGAGAAGCCATGCACTCAAGTAGCCACCAAGGGATCTGCAATATGGACCCTCTAGCGCTGGATTTGATGAACTAACTGTGAAATAGCACAAAGCTGAGAACTCTGAATTTTGGGACTTCTACCCAGAGGAAAAAATAACAACTATTTTTTGTTGTTGTTGTTGTCATTTGTTCGTAAAATGCCTTTTAAATTATATATTTATTTTATTCTATGTATCTTAATTTATTTAGTTTTTAACAATCTAACAATAATATTTCAAGTGCCTAGACTGTTACTTTGGCAATGTCCTGACTCTCCTCCTTGCATCACCACACTCCCCTGTCCCAAATCTGATATGGCTCTATAATCTGTCTGTGGTAATTTATTGTCTGTGTACATTTCTGAAGATGTCCCAGGAGCAGAGTGCCCCGGGGATAGCTGTATATGGTGGGGATGCAAGGTTTAACTTGGTCAGAGCCACTCTATGAGTTGGACTGCAGTCTTGCCTAGGCAATTTTGTCTACTGTCTATGTTTTGAAAGCTCAAGGTGCTGATGTCATAGTGTAACAGATATCACTGTTCCCCGTGTCCTGTCTCTGCCAAACCTCAGAAGAGGTTGGGCATCCATGCCCACAGCTTTCCTGGCTTTTACCCCCATAACCCTGGGCCCAAAGAGTGGGAACCTACTCTCCCTTGCGTCAAGACATTTCTCTTACTCCTGCCATTCTTCTGGTGCTACTCCATGCAGGGGTCAGTGCAGCAGAGGACAGTCTGGAGATGTTAGCAAAGAAAAAGGCTGAGAAGGAACCGGAAGCATTGGGGTTGACTGTTCTAGGTAATTGATTACCTACCAATTGCTACAGAGATGGTTGGAGATGGGGAAGGTTTTGGGTAACCTGACCTATCTCACCAAAACTATATCCATGCTGTCATGGTCCCTTCTGGAAGTTTCTGGTGCCATATCTGAACTGTTACAATCTGTATTTCCAAACCTGCTTCATATTTATACTTTGCAATCCAAATAAAGATAACCCTTACTCCATAGTCTGTTTGTTTTAACTGGGAATTGGCTTAACATAGCTATTTTCTTTCTTTCTTTTTTTTTGGCAGTACTGGGGTTTGAACTCGCAGCATTATGCTTGTGCTCTACCACTTGAGCCACACCCTGAGCACAACATAGGTATTTTCTAAACCCTGCCCTGGCGTTAGGTTCTATACCAGGCATATTTATGAACATTATCTCAGTATCCCCAACAACTCCATAATGGAGGTGCTATTACTCTCCTATTTTCCCAAAAGAGGAAACTGAATCTCAGGTTATATAACTGACCTGAGGGTACCCAGTAAGTGACAGAACTGGGACTAGTAGTCTGACTCCAATAATTTTTTCTTAGTACTAACTGCAAGAAAGAATAGAGCTTTTGTTTGTTTATTTTTAGTTGCATTGCTTTTTTTAATTTTTATTTATTTATTTTTGAGAGACAGCTTCCTACGTAGTCCAGGCTGGCTTCAAACTCCCTATTCACCTGCCTCTGCTTCCAATGTGCTGGAATTACAGACATGCACCACCATATCCAGATTAGGAAAAGACTTTGGCATAGGAAGTTTGACTGTTTGTAACCAGGAAAGACATGAACACATTCAATCAACAGGCCCTAGACTGAGGACCTAGTCTTGTGCTGTACATGCAAGCAAGCAATGAGCAAGACATTACTGCCTCCTCTTTCATGTTCCACAGCCAAATCCATCAGCAAATCTTGTCATCTATACCTTTAGGACATGCTATAGGCAACCACTTCTTATCACTGCTATGGTCATCATCCAGTCCAATGCATCATCTTCTTTTGCCTGGACTCTTGGGATGGCCTCCTCTCTTTCTAGTTCCACCTTGCTTCCATGTAGCCTATTTCCAACATCAGTTAGAAGTATTTAAAACAATTCAGAGCTGGGGGCATAACTCATTGGTAGAGTACATGCTTAGCATACAAGAGGCCCTGGGTTCGATCTCTAGAATTTCACAAATACTCAGAAAAACAACCCAGTTCTTGGCTATTCTGTTTGCCTTCTTTTACCACCCTATTATACATAGCACATTCCATCCCACCCCACTCTTATTCTCCTTACAGCACTTCATATTTCTCTATAGCTCTAATTACCACTAACATATTTCTATTTGTTTATCATGCATCTATTCCTACTAGAATATTAGCCCCATGAGGGTAGGGGTGTGTACATTGTTCCAATCCCAGTTTCTAAAACAATACAATAGAATTGCAGGCATTCAATACAGGTTACACGGATAAATAAATATAAGAAACAAAGGGGGAGGAGTGAGGAAAGGGCATGGGAGGATGAATATAGTGCAAATACGGTGTACATATGGGTGTAAAAAGCCAGGTACTCTCACCTCTGAGCCACTCCACCTGCCCCACATGTATGTTAATAGAAAAAAATGATACCTGTTAAAACTATTCCAGGAATGGGGCACATAAAGAATGGTGGAGGGGTTGAATTCAAGTATGATATATTTGATATATTGTAAGAACCTTTACAAAGGCCACCCCCACCCAGCACAATAATAAAATAAAATATAAAAAAATACATTTCCAAGCAAAAAGAAAAAGAATTAAAATCAAGTTTAAGCCCAGCATCTAGGCAGAATGTAATCCTATATGGCCCTGAAAATGGATGGGATCAAGAGGGTCAGACAAGAGAACGAAAGTGGAATTTGGGGCCTATCATGTGGTATGGTGTCCTAGATGGGTTGGAGACAGGGAAAGCCATTGGATAAGTACAACTAGATTACCCCTTCCTCTTCCTCATCTTCTTTTCTTAGAAAGTTGTGACATTCTGAAGTTTTTCTATGGACCCACAAGAGATTTTCTGAGACAGGGTCTTGCTTCATAGCCCAGATTGGCCTTGAACTCAAGATCCTCCTGTCTCAGCTTTCCAAGTGCTGAGATTACAGGCATGTAATACCACACCCATTTCACATGGAGATCTTATATGTACTTTGAATATCCTTTTAAAACTTTGGATAATACTAACTACTAAAGCTATAAGAATACTCTTTAACCCAGAAATTCCAGTTGCAGGCATTCCACTACCAGGCATATGTACAAGAGAAATAGTACCTATGTTCACCAAAAGGCATGTACAAAAGTGATCTTAGCATTACAATCACTAAAAACTGGGAACTAGTAGGTGTGGTTGTTCATACTGTAATTGCAGCACTTGGAGGTAAAGGCAGAAGGATCTCAAGTTCCAGGCCAGCCTAGCCTACATAACAAGATCCTGTCTTAAAAAGCAAAAACAAAAAGACAAACAAAAATAAACTTTAAAAAAACACCAAAAAAACAAAAAACCAATGGCTGGGGATGTACGTTAAGTGGTTGCTTACCACTCACAAGGTCTTGGGTTTGATCCCCAGTACCACACACACACACACACACACACACACAAAACAAAACCTGGAAACTACTCAAATATCTATCTGTATATGATGATAAAATGAATAAATCAACTGGTGTGTCTAGACAATGAAGTACTAAATAGCCATATAGGTGAATCTTACAACATTGCTGAGTGAAAGAAGCCAAACAAAAATTAGTATATTTTGTGTGATTCCATTTCTATAAAACTTAAACACAGGCAAAATTAGTCTATGGTGAAAGAAATCAGGAAAGAGAGCCTGGCTGGGGTCAGAAATCTGGATACTCAGGTGTATTTGCTACGAGAAAATTCGCTGAGCATAATTTGTAAATTTTTCTGTATGTTTTTTACATAAATATAAAGATTGTTTAAAACTTGGGGGGGATTCTTTTGCTATTGTGTTCCATAGTTTTGTAAAGGATAAATGTCTGACTTCAATAATCAAAAAGTGTCAGAAATAATTGGTATAATGAATTTCTTTGAACTCTCCATGAGTTGGTTCCCTTTCCTGCTTCCAAGCTTCCAGATTGAACCTTTATGCTGGGCTGGGCTTTTCTGAGCACACTTTGTTTCTCCAGCTGACGTTTCCTGCAGGCTCAGGGCTTCCTGCCTTTCAGCTGCTCTCTCCTGCTGTTGTAGTTTCCTTTGGAGGTCCTCTGGGCTTCTTCTCAGTTGATACAGTGGCCCTGGGAGCCTCTGAACCTGCAACCACTTCTCAAGATTGACCATCAGAAGAAACTAGCTCCCCGAACTCTGAGAAACATCTACCTTTTCTTGGTAAACTCCCTTTTAGCCTCCTTTGGGCTACTTTTATGATGGTCATAACAATCATTAATAGGTTAATAAACACTTCATGGAGTCCTCATTATATACAGGCACTGGCTTCACACTATATAGGCACTATAATTATCTCATTTATAACTCATGACAATCTGGAAGGTTAGTGCTTTTATTTAGATGAGAAAATTGAGGCCAAGAGATAATAAGTGATGATAGGTTTATGGTTAAGTGGTAAAGGCAGGATGTGAACTAGGGAAAACTGACTCCCAAGCCTACACTCTCACCACCAAGCTACACTCCTGAGTTCTCCAAGCAAGACTCATTTTCTTTTCTTCCCATATCCAGAGATAACATAGTGAAGGAATCTAAGCAGTGAGAGTCACTGCTTAGAGCTCAAGAGTTTCCTCTGCCCCAGTTCACAGATTCATGAAAAGTAGTCCAATCTGCCTTATCAGAGTGCAGTAGAAATAACAAGAACTCAGGCTGACCCAAACTTGAGTTTGAGTCAGGCACCACTGTTTATTAGGAAACCACCTCATGTGTGATACCTAACTTCTTTGAGCCTGTCTCCCTATCTGTAAAATAAAGACACTAAAAATATCTATCTTGGTACATATCTCAGTGGTAGAGCATTTTTGTAGCATGCATAAGATCTTGAATCCAATTTCCTGCACTGCAAAAAAATTTTAAATAAAGTTTTATATGTATGTGTGTGTGTGTGTGTGTGTGTGTGTATACGTATAGATCACAGAGTTGCAAAAATTGTCCATTGAGTAAAGTACCTAGATCAGAACCAGACATAGGCTAGATACTTAGTAAATGTCAGTTATCTTAAATGACTCTCTAAGGAGTGAATTAGTGGCACATCTAGCATTGAAACCCAGGCCTCTGCTAGGCCACAGTTCTTTCCTTAGAA